AGCCTGCTTCTTCCTCTCCCACTCCCCCTGCTTGTGTTCCCTCTCTTGCTGTGTCTCTCTCTGTCAAATAAATAAATAAAATCTTTAAAAAAAAAATAAAATTGTTAATTGTGCTTACAGTTCTGGATTGACTTCTTTTTCGCCAGGATTTTGAACCTATCACTACTTATTCTTTCCAGTTGCTTTTCCTGCCATTTTGGTGATATATTCTAATTTACATAAGCTTTTTTTTTTATAAGGTTAAGTTTCAGGGCAACAATTTAAATATTCATATGTATATGTTTATATATGTATATACATATTTATATATCTGTAATTATACCTGTAACTTCTTTGTTATTTTTACTTTTTTTTCTATCTTAATACAAATAAAACTGTACTGCCTTTTTTAAAAAATATTATATTTATTTATTTGAGAGAGAGAGAGAGAGCGCAGGTAGGGGGCGCTGCAGGCAGAGGGAGAGGGAGAAGCAGGCTTCCCGCGGAGCAGGGAGCCCGACGCGGGGCTCGATCCCAGGACCCTGGGATCATGACCTGAGCCGAAGGCAGTCGCTTAACCAACTGAGCCACCCCAGGAGCCCCGAGAGTTCCTTTTAATATTAGCATTTTATTGTGAATTTTTCAGATTATTTCAAAAAGCACAAAGAAACCTTTATTTCTGTCAACTGTTAGAATACCCACTCTCAAAATTATCAAAACATATCCTTTCAGAAATGTTTAAAAGAAACTCCATTTCATAAATTACCTTTTCTATGGTAGAATATATCATGAACAGTTTTCCAAGTTATTAAATATTATAACACTGTCCTTATTTGAATAGAGTTAGTGTTTATCTGTGTGGCTTTACTATTATTTTACTAATCTATTGATAAAATGTTTGCCTTCTAAATTTTGCCTTCTAGACAAGGCTCCTTTCAACATCCTGTTTGCATTTTGTATACTTGTCTCCTTTTTTTATTTCTGAAATCATCTATGGATGTCTTATACTTACAAAATTTTAAACATTGCAGATAAACTAAACTCCCGTTTGACTATTTCCCTTTCCCTAGTTTCTCCCCTAAATTTACCACTGTTGGCAGTTGTGTTGATTTCATCCTTAATAAAAGGGTAACTTAGATGAGAATCGAATCAATATTCAGATATTTTGGCTACCCATTGTGTTCTCTTATCAGTCAGATAATGTGTTCTATTTTATACTTTTTGTAATAAACCTCTTCTCATTATGCTGTGACAGTTGTGATCTCAACCATCCCATGGAACTTTATATACACTTTCTCTCTGGTATGAATGTTATGATCAGCATAAAGATTGAATTCTGTAGGAAGAGCTTACTACATCTTAACATCTTTATTTTGGTTTTAAGTTTTTTCTTTTCCAATATGGAGTGTCTCTTATGGTTAAACACCATTCCATAAATAAAACAGATGAAGAAAATACTAACATTTACCAAACAATTCACTAGTTATATTCATGCATTCATAACCCATTTACTCCTCATTACACACCAATGACAGTTATCTTAGTCACCCCATTTTGCCATACTTGAAGTGAAATACATAAGATTGAAAGCAGTATTATGTTTCTACTGAATATGTATATTAATATTCGTATCTATCTATAGATATATACATTGTATGTGTAGTGTTTGTGTGTGTGTGTTTAATTGCATTTTTAAAAGCTCTTGAAAGAAAGGGTGGATGAGAGACGATGGACTCTGAGAAACAAACTGAGGGTTCTAGAGGGGAGAGGGGTGGGGGGATGGTTTAGCCTGGTGATGGGTATTAAAGAGGGCATGCTCTGCATGGAGCACTGGGTGTTGTGCACAAACAATGAATCATGGAACACGACATCAAAAACTAATGATGTAATGTATGGTGATTAACATAACAATAAAAAATTTTTTAAAAATTAAACATTTCAAAAGAAAGAAAAGAAAGAAGGGGTGGGGCAGAGTCCCAAACAGACTCCAACAAAGGGCTCGATAACACAACCCTGAAATCAGAACCTGAGCTGAAACCAAGAGTTGGATGCTTAACTGTCTGCATCAACCAGGCACCCCACAAATGGTGATTCTTAAAAGATTAACAGTGTAGCAATTTTGGCAAAAAAAAAAATAAGCATTAGGACTGAGAAATTGATGTTACTACAAAGTATAGATTTTATGGGTAAGAGATATACTCTTTTTATAATAATTTCAAAAAAGTAAAATGCATGATATTCTTCAAAAACAAATCTCCGGAACTCAGTCAAGAGAAATATAAACATCCACTAGTCCAATAAAAACTAAATAAATTGCCCATAGCTAAAGAAACCACCTGATCTTTTTTTTAAGTTTTTATTTAAATTCCAGTTAGTGGGGCGCCTGGGTGGCTCAGTCGTTAAGCGTCTGCCTTCAGCTCAGGTCATGATCCCAGGGTCCTGGGACAGAGCCCCGCGTTTTGCTCCTTGCTCCACAGGAAGCCTGCTTCTCCCTCTCCCACTCCCCCCTGCTTGTGTTCCCGCTCTCTCTCTCTGTCAAATAAATAAATAAAAATCTTAAAAAAATAAATTCCAGTTAGTTACATACAGTGTAATATTAGCTTCAGGTGTACAATTTAGTGACTCATCACTTATATACAATACCCAGTGCTCATCACAAGTGCCCTCTTTAATCCCCATCACCTATTTAACACATTCCCCCCCCCCGCCTCTGGTAACCATCTGTTTATTCTCTATAGTTGAGAGTCTGTTTCTTGGTTTTCCTCTCTCCTTTTTTCCCTATGCTCCTTTGGTTTCTTAAGTTCCACATATGAGTGAAATCATATGGTATTTGTCTTTCTCTGACATTTCACTTAGCTTACTACTCTCTAGCTCCAGCCACATCATTGCAAATGGCAAGGTTTCATTCTTTTTCATGGCTGAGTAATATTCCATTATTTATATTTATACATATATTAATATATAAGTGATATACATATATCACGTCTTTATCCATTCATCAGTCGATTTGGGCTCTTTCCATAATTTGGCTATTTCGATAATGCTGCTATAAACATAGGGGTGCATGTATCCCTTCAGTTTTTATTCTTTGGGCAAATACCTACTAGTGCAATTGCTAGATCATAGGGTAGCTCTATTTTTAACTTTTTAAAAAGATTTTATTTATTTGAGAGAGAGGGAGAGAGCATGAGTGGGGAGGGAGGGGCAGAGGGAGAAGGAGAAGCAGACTCCCTGTTGAGCAGGAAGCCCAATGCGGAGCTCGATCTCAGGACCCTGAGATCATGACCTGAGCCAAAGGCAGA